GGAGGACTCGTCAGATGAAGAGGAGGAACCACACAGCCTCATGGTCACTCTGCGTTACCGGAAAGGCGCAACTGATGGCTCTGCTGCTCCCGACCAAGACGCGCCCATGGCAAATGGCGTCGACCACGATGCTACTGCTGCGACAGTAGCCGACACAGGCGCGCCAAAACAGCCTGAGGTTGCGCCTGCTCCAGAACCCTCAGCCCCTACATCCGAGCCCAGTTCTACCACGAACGGGATCTCCCAACCCGTCATCCCCGTCGCAAACCAACAGCTTCCCACAGGCAACCCAGAAGCGCTCCCCAAACTCGACGGCTTCTTCTCCGCCCCAACACCGCCGTACAGCGCCCCCGAGGAAGCACCAAAACACCAGACTCCCGTCGACGTCCCCACCAACTCTTACGAAGCACCTCCACCACCGCAACATCCCACACCTGCTCCTACCGCCAGCTGGCAATAGATCTGCCTGCGCACTTAATCAAGCCGTTTTCTCATGCATGCTACACATCGTTTCCCAACTCCCATGTGCGGCTGTCTTCAATTCAATTCTATACACGTTGTTCTTTTCTTGTCCTGTCCCTGTCATAGCTAGAGAAAGACAGATACCCATGGCGTTTTCCAATTCTTTACCTCCTGTACCTGAAGATAGGAGGTGAGATTAAGGTGTTGTCTCTCGTTAGGTTAGCGTTGTGTTAGGATACGTATGGGCATCGGATGTCTACAGTTATATCGGGTGTTGCTCATGAGTGGTAGACAATGGCACTTTTACACAAAGGGATGATAGCCTGGATGGCTGGGACACAGATACTCGGTGTGCACTGAGGGATGTGTAGGAGGAGAAGTTCAATAAATGCAACTTGTGTTGTCATTATGAGCAGCTGTGCGATTGTGTTGTGATGCTTCTTGTGAACCAGGTACATTGACAGTATCGTGAGCTTCGTATCTAGCGAAGCTCACGATACTGTCAATGTACCTGGGCATACGTCTTGCTTCAGGCACATCAGGCCCATACCTAATCAAATAGATTTGGACTTGATGCTCCGAAAGCAAGACGTATGCTTTCGCTCCACAATGCCACCGCCGCCGCTACTGGTGTTATATACATTCAGTCATGTCGTCGTACACATATACGTCCACTCCACGCTTCACCTCGGTAAAGCGCCCGGTATGGCTCCCGCAATGCCCGTCGTAGTCCGACTCTGCAGTTTCGGTCTCCCCGACCCCTTGGGCCGGTCTCTCTGCTCGCCGCGCCACCGCATGCCGTCTTCCCGGGTATTCCTACTCTGGCTACGAGAGTCTGGTACACTGGGTTTCCTAACCCCAGCTCTGATCTCCGCCTCTCGCATTTTCTGGCCTTCTGCTTCTATGCGCTCTTCTAGGGTAGCGTTTTCGGCGATGGGGCTGGGGATGAAGGATGTTGAGCCGGGAGCTGTGCCGTTTCCTTCCATTACGGCGATTTCGTCGTCCTCGTCCTCTTCGTTCTCGCCGGCTGCTGCGTCGGCGTCCTCGGTGGCTCCGCCTCGTGTGTTGTGTTTGCGGGGCCAGAGTGAGGGGAGCACGATTTGCTGGAAGCGCGGTTCTACGGCTCGCTCGTCGAACCAGGCATGGACGCGGGATTCGATAAGCTGGGCGATTTTGGGTACGTCTTGAAGTCGTGATCGCGAACCAACCAGGGAACGCACGGAGAGGTCGAGGCGGTAGTCGTCTAGGAAAGTGAAAGCTAAAGTGGTGGGACGGTGTGGTGGGGCGCCTGATGAGGATGCTGGACGACTCGGCGAGGAACCTCGGTGTGTGTTTGATGTTGGCGATGGCATGGGCGCGGTGGTTGGTGGAGGCGAGGACGAGGGTATGAAGGACACGGCCAGGGTTCCTGAGAATCGTACAATGCTCACCGCGAGCGCGACTGGCAAGACTGCGGACATGGGTTTCGGCCAGTTCAGGTTCAGTGTCGTCTCTACGCCGATGGTAATGACATCGCTCAGATCAACGTCCATGCGCGCTTGCAGTCTCTCCTTCTCATCTGTATTGCCTGGCCCGTACCAGAATCCGTCTTCTGCTGGCATGACTCGGCAGTTGCTGAAGATGGGGAACTCATCACCCAATGCTATCTCCGTCACCCTGATCTCGCCAATCCAGTCCGGCTTGCTGCCCGTGTTCAAGATGTCGGTGAGCGAAGTAAGGATTGCATCGTCCTGGCGTGCATCGGCTCTCAGCTGTGCGATTGTTTGCGCAATGAGCACATTGAACCAATCTAAGCTCTCCGGTTGGTGTCCCTTCACGTTGTAATACGTCTTCGCGAGGATAGTCTGTATGCTTGGACCTCCCCTGCTCTCCTCGCCTTTTCTTATTATACTTCTCGATGGTTTGTGCCGTAAAGAGAGAGACGTCGAGTTTGCGCGCGTTCTCAATTGCTTATACGACTGTTGGTGGGCCAAGGTTCGAGCTCGGCGGAGCGAGTTGAGATGCAATGCGCGGTCGTCGGCAGACGGTGGCTCTCCGAAGATGAAGAACTTTATGAAGCAGAACATCAAAATCGCAATCGAGAGCTGGCCGAGTAGGAACCCTTGTGTGAAGGAGAGTCTATGGTAGGTTAGCGGGGTCTCTGCATTTGATGGGCAACTGTACGATGACGAGCCGCCCTGTGTGACGGGCAGCGCCACGGGCGTGGGCACTGCTTTGACCATAGTCGCGACTGGAGAGTTGCTACCGCGTTGACAATTGCATGTTGGGTGTGGGTGGTGCTTTCGAGCAGAGGCAGGCAGACGTAATTGTGCATCGGACCTTGGAAGGATGCCGACCTAGCCATATCGATAAGCCTCCTAATGACTCCACGCCCATCTCCGCAGCCCCGAGGTCTCCCCAGACTCAGACCCGCGACGAGGCACGACTCTACCTAGGATGCCCCTTCTCTCCAAGGTCGTCACCTTCAGGACCCCCACCAACCGCGCCGCTGCCATCAAGGCGAATAGAGTCATCCGATCCATCAAGAGCAGATACCGCGCCCAGGCCTTCCTGTTCCTCGCGTACCACTTCTTCCTCACGTCGCCTATGCACCTCGACATCTTCATCATGTTCTTCATTCTCGTCAGCAACTTCATGAACCGGCAACAGGCCTTTCCCAGCCAATTGGTCATCGAGGGGCTCCGCTTTCTGATCGACGAGAGGAGGTTCATCATGCCTTGAGTGCTGGTGTACCAAGCCTCACTTCCGACGCGATACAGAACTACCCTGGATTACTCGCGTACACATATCAGGTGCGCGACGTGGTTTCGTTGCCCCTTCACCTGAACCAGACGGAGATAGCGGCAGTTGCAAGTCCGATTGGTTGCCAAGCTCCCCACCTCTGGACCAGTTCAAGATCGCATACCATTGTAGCGTCCTCAACCTCCTTATGGATTTCGATACCCAAAGTCAGAGCCTATCGCCAGGTGCTGCGACTCACAACCCCAATCTCATCCTCCCAGCAACTTGCGACCCACCATCTGAGCACAATCCGCCCAAGCGAGCAGTATGGATAGTAGGTCATCAAGTATGTTGCCTTGGTCACGATAGCTAACATCTACTCAGGTCTTTGGAGCGACCGGCCACATGGGACGATCCCTCGTTCGAGCGATACTAGCGCACGGCGACCAATGCACCGCGGTGGGATGGACCGAAGAGAACACACCTGAACAGATGGATAAGTGGAAGAACAGAAACTGCTTGGGTTTACTATGCGACGTGAGAGTGCGCGAGACAGTGGACCAGGTTATCAGGAAGAGCATCGAATACTGGGGCCAGGTGGATGTCATAGCGAACAGCACCGGCTACGGCGTCATAGCAGCATGCGAGGACCAGGACGAGTACGACCTGCGCAATCAATTCACCACAAACTTTCTCGGAACCCTACACATCTTGCAACTTTCCCTCCCATACTTTCGCTCACAAAACTCCGGCCGATACCTCATATTCTCATCCACGGCTGGAGCCCTCGGCGTGCCTGGCCTCGGCCCGTACTGTGCGACCAAGTACGCCGTGGAAGGGCTCATAGAGTCGATGTTGTACGAAGTCGATATCTTCAACATCAAAGCAACACTTGTCGAGCCTGGGCATGTTCGATTGGACGAGCCGGATGACAACATATTACCACCCAGCTATACTTCGATGCCCGTTCCAGGAACAGGTCCGCCGAAGCCGAAACGTTACGGTCATTTCTTTGTGAAACCGAACCCCAGCGAGCCCTATGCGGGTCTGACAAGTCCGGCGCAACACGCGCGACGGATGGTACAGTGGCTGAACGATAGACAACCGGTGAGCGCTGTGAAGAGCGCAGAGCTGGTGTGGCAACTGGGTCATTGCAGCTATCCCCCGTTGCGCTTGATTTTGGGTAGCTACGCCGTGGAAAGTATTCGCGACAGGCTGAAGAGCATCACTGAAGAGGTAGGCAATGTTCCTTTGCGCTGCGCCTAACATATTAACTCCTCACAGATCGAGGACTGGAAGCATCTTTCGTTTCCTGTTTCCATGCCCCCGGAAGAAGAGGATGGAAAGGATAATCTCAAAGAGGAGCAGGAGCAAGACGACGAACAGATGCAGGACTGAAGAGGACCGTCCGCTATTGGTACAACTGACGCGCGGAATCCCCATGCTGTACCCGCTTATACAGATGCCACAACTTCGAATCATATCGCTTGAACGTAACGCGACAAACGACTTATCGGTGTTTTGAACGTTTTCAGTATGATGATATGGTTACTCTTTCTATTAATGTCGAAAGAAACGAGACCGAAACCTTTCTCAGCTTACAGTCATCGCAATTGGGTCAGCTCGCTTCGCATGCTGTGCCACCTTGATCTATCTGTATAACGGGATTAGAACACGCGATGCGAACTTGTTTGCTGCTTCCTTTGTCGCACGAGGTTTGCTTGTTACCTGCTTACCGTGCTTTCTAGATGCATCTATTACTACATCTTGTCCCTTGCACCATCTGGAATCTTTCGATTCCACGCCAGACTGCCGTCATGGACAACGAAATCCGACCGGCCTGGCAGTCCCCGACTTTCGCTCCTAATTCTCCTGGGACTGGTCGAGATAGCTGGAAAACCGCTCCAGGCTCACCGAGAGAAGACTTCAGATTCAATGTTGACGCTATTTCTGAGGAATGCGAAACAAATTCCAGCGAGGTTCAGAAGTCGAGTAGACAGCCATACGTACCGAGGTGGGAGTGCAACGAAAAGTTGGACTATGTCGAACATGATCCAGATATCGACGGCATCGATTGGAGACCTGGCTTCAAGCACCAGTTTCCATGGATCGGCTTTGCGGGACTTGTGGTGATCTTCGTGGCCACTGCTACGGCTGTAGCCATTCTGGTGTGTTCGCATAAGAAGCGAGTCAAAGATTGGCCATTCACTAGGTATGTTCGGCAGATACAGTCTCATGCAGATATCAATTAATGAAACAGTTTCCCTGCTCAGCCGAACGTCCTCCTCAACATCGCAAACCAGATCCAAAATCTGGGGCTGATCACTTTGGTAAGCCATGGATTGGCTATCGCATGGTGGAGAACAGCCTTGCGCGGTAGCTCTCTCCGCGTGCTACATAAGAATCACGCATATTCTTACAGCTTCTACGCGATTGTCACCTCCGGCAGGTACTTCAACTTGGTCGCTCTCGCTGCACTCATGACGAAGTTTGCTGTCGTGGATAGCACCCTATTTCAAAAATCGACGAGGACTATCGTAACTCAGCAAAAGGAGTACGCCAATTCCACCATGACTGCATGGGTCGAGAGAGACTGGCCGAAGCGATTAGGAGGTCTTCCCGCACAAGATGGCACCACCAGACTGAATCTTGCTTCCTGGGCCGGTGTTCTGGATGCGTACAACGGCAAGCTCGCAAATGGGAAGGTGCATGACGGTCTTAACGATACTGCGTCTTTCTTCGAGTGTCCATATCGTCAGGAATGCAGTAGTGCTGTCGAAGGTCTAGGGTTTGCGTTCAATTGCACAAGCGATTACCAACAGGTTGACTATGGATTAGAAGAACCGGGTTCATATCCGCTATGGCATGTCAATTTCAACCCACAATGGGCAACCGAAACGAAATCATACGCCAGCATCAATCTCGAGATGTTATATGTTGATAGCCGAACCGGGGGAGACGACTCATGCCCGGGTCGTAAGACTACACGCACATGCGAGATCATACCCGCAGTCGTTCAGTATCCAGTTACTGTCATGGTACCAAGCAAAGAAGAACTTGATGGCAAGAACATCGTCACACACATCAAGTTCTTCAACACCGAAGATCCACGGCCCATCGGAGCTAATCTCAATGGAATCAGACAAATTGATGGACTGAAAGTGTTAAAGACCGTCAGTCTCGACGAAAGGATCAACGACCCTTCCACTGTCGGGAGTCTGACTTATATCATGAATAACCTCTATGGGTCCTCGGCGAACCTCACTTATGACAATGGCTGGGATCTCAGTTCTCGAGGTGCTTCCACGCAGACTACATTTTACTCAGACAACGATGAGGTAATGAAGGACGCCTGCTGGTTCAACATTAACAAGCCTGGTCGGGATGATCCCACCATTGAGATGCTGCGTAAGCTTAACACACTGAGCTTTGTGACTGCGTTGTACATCAAAGGGGCTCCTAAGACCGATAGAGACGAGCGCAAAGCCCTCGGCATGGCCAGTCAAAACATCACCACATCAATCACCGGCATCGTAGAAGAATACCTCACCTCCTCCGCCTACGTCTACGGCGCCCTCGCAGCAACCTTCATCACCGTCATACTCGTCCTACCCGTCTACTGGGGCTTCTGGCAACTGGGTCGCAAAGTCACTCTAGGTCCACTTGAGATCTCACAAGCATTCGGTGCGCCCATCATCGCGCCCGACAAGATGAAAGCATACCACGGCGACTTTGACCAGGTGCTCGAGGATGTTGGGGATAGGAGAGTACAGTACGGGCAGCTCAGGAATGCGCCGCCAGGGCAGATGGGTCTTGCGGAGCCAGAGAGGGTGGTGGTGCCCAAGGCTAGTCATCGGTGGCGGGTTAGTGGGCAGAGGGAGAACAGGAGAATTGGGCTGGGTGCAGTCTTTGGAGGCGCGGTCGCTGCTACCATGTCGGGGAATGCGAGGGATTGAGTGTGATCTGATGAAATGTCGTGGGTAATACGAGTGCGAGGCAAGGGCGAGTCTGTGCAGTCATCCGGATTGCAGTATCTGGTAATCAAAGGGTAATGACTTAATGTATAATACAGGAAGGCGAATATAGTAAGATATTGATGCAAGTGCAAAAAGAATACCTCCAGCTTCACAGTTTCCAAGTTCTTGTCATCTCGTCTGCCACGCTTCGCATCCCGCTGCTAGTGCGGGAGGGCCGGCGCTAGCCTCGCTTACGGCCACGTTTCAATCACGTGTGCTCATCACCAGCTCAAAAACATACTCTTTCCACCACAACGTCGCCAGGACGTATAGATTAGCAAAAAGAAAGCAATGCATCGGCCGGGAATCGAACCCGGGGCTAGCCGAAACTGTCCTGTGAAGGATGGCAACGGCTAATTTTACCACTAAACCACCGATGCGGAGGCCGAGACCAGAGAACTGGACTGCTTGATGAAAACTCAGCAAAATTGATAGAATATAGCTGGAGCAAACAATGTGTGGGCAGTAGCGAGTACCTGTGTTGTCGTCTAGACAGGAGAAAAATCCTACTTTCCAGAGTTTGGTCCCACTCTCGTGCATCCTGATTGGCCGCGTGGGGTCGGACAAGGCGTTCGGCGAATCCGGGCAAGGCTGGACTTGTTACGCCTCACACCAGGCGTGTGTCGGCTCTACATATCTTTTCCACGAGGCGATAGTTTTAGTCTCTCCGATTACCACCTTGTTCGCCAATGAATACACCCAAGAGCAATTGAGGCAACCAGTTCGAAATGAGACTTGCTTCTACATATCAACACGCAGTTCACATGGCCAGTATGGCACATGTAGTGCGTTGAGATTACCTAGGTAGTGTTAGGCTGACATGTGTGGTATGTATGATACGACTTCAGCCGCTAGTAGAGAGAAGGTAGCAGCAGGAAGACATTCGACTAGGAATCGGCACTCAATGGCGGCTGTATGAGAGGCGGGAGGCGCACTCATTGCCGATGTGGAAATCTTCCGGAGTGCGGGGACATTATCTACATGCAATCAATTCTCCGACGCTTGAACGTTTCAGCCCTTGTACGCCGCAACACCAAGACAATGTACATTAAACGTGACCCAGCCGCCAGAGGAAGGTAGCATATTTGGCTGGATAAGAACCATCACGAGTGGGAAGGATTGAAGAATGCTCTCCTATGCGTGGGACAATATCCCAGCTTATCAACCCACCTACCTAATGAGGCCGAAAGACCGTCCTTAATTGCAGCCACTACAGCAGTAAAGGTGTGCGTGGTAATCAGCGGTGGAAATTTACCATGAAAGAACACATGGTATATCATTGGGCATGCCGCAGCAGCCCTCATCGCTGCAAGCCCTGAACAGCGCCGACAACCACAGCTCTTGATCCAACCCAAGAAACTACACCCACGATCATGCAGTTCTCTCTTCTCCTCGTCGCGGCGTATGCCTGCACCGCCTCCGCACGCCTGTCCTGGTCCTTGGCAAAAGCGTCCAACCCCACCGCCGACCAAAGAGACGCATACATTAAGATCGAAGCTGCAATGACAAAGGCCGTCGCTCGCTATGAGAAGTACTCCGACGCAAACAAGACGATTCGTGTGGCCTACGCCCCGGGTGTCCCTACTGCCGAGGCGAACTACAACGGCGATCTACGATTCGGCTCCAACCGCGCTTACATGACGGAAAGGACTGCGATGCATGAGATAAGCCACACGCTAGGAGTCGGCCAGACAGCGGCTTTTGACAGAAAGTGTGCTGCAGGCGACTGGCGCACGGCACTATCCCTGATCAGGAGCTTCGATGGAGCAAATGCGAAGATTACTTGCGGTGGTGGACACTTCTGGCCATACGGTATGACAAAAACGCGATGTTCCAACTGTACGTGAAACATAGACTGACTTGCCACGTCGATAATTCAGGCCTGAACTATGATACTGAGTGGAGCGAGACGAATGCAAACCGGCATGTGCAGTTGATTGAGGCTATGCTGACTGACGGGATGTGAGGTGGTTGTTTTCCAGTATACTGTTACAATTTAGCGTTTATACAATGCGAACGAGCCCCGATCAATCATTGTGCTACCATCGTTTACCAACTGAAGTGCTCCGTTGTCTTCCAACCTGCCGCAGACCATGCGGATAGGGCAACGATACATGTCTGAGTTTCCTCGCCGTTTATTGCTTCAACTTCCAGACGCTAATCATGTCGTCGCCGCGACTTTGTTTGAAAGAGACTGGGGGCTTCCAATACACAACCCTTTCGAACGAGCCCTGCTCCTTTCCTGTTCCGAGAAGATTGCCGGAGTCGTCGAACAGGCCATCAGCACCATCGGCTAGAAGGTTCCAGTGTACACCGTTCAGACCCCATGGCGGACCTTGAGCTTTCAGAGGCTTCCACATTGGAAATTCGAGGCACACGAGAACACCAGTTGGCGACAAAAGGCTCTTCATGCGATCGGCCCAATCTCTTCGCATCTCAGGAAGCAGGGCACACAGAAACTTGATCGACGTTATTAGCACTCGTTAGGAGCATGTCGGTCGGGACTCTTTGCATGCCGAACGTACTGTATAGTCGTAGATTAGATCGAAACCCTGGAAATCAGGTCCGAAATGAGCCTCGAATCCCTTTTGGAAGAAATCGCCGAGCACGACGTCAGCGACATGGCCAGCTGAAGGATCTAGATGAGATTTGACGTTCTCGTTGGCGGTATTCACTGCTCCTTGGGAAATTTCTAGACCCCATGTCCTGAAGCCATGACGTGCTAATAGCGCCACATCATGCCCCTTACCGCAGCCCTAATGCACGATGAGCCTCTTGTCAAGTACGCTCGTTACGAGACACCTACAGGCACAAATGCCTTCAACTGCCGTTGACTCTGGTCTCGGAACAGCGTCTCGCGATAAGGGTGTTCTTCAAGGAACATAGTCAGAGCAGGCGAAGCTTGGACCCGATCCCACAGATCCTGTTCCTTCTGTTCCCACAGTTTGGCCCACCCGTCGCTCTGTGCATCCCGGGTGCTGGAACCGTTAGTTGTGGCTACGGAAGTGGCGGCACGTGGCGCTCCTTACCTGTAGCCATCAAAGTGGGAGACCAAGCGGGTCCTGTTTTCAGCAAACTGGGTTTCGGAACTCATGGTGCAGGTGCGGAAGGATGCAAGGATTCAGGATGTCACGGCAAAGCCTGGAAGCCGGTTCAGTGGTGATAGAGATCTGTTGATCCATGCGCCACGCTAACCTCGTGCCTGACGCTACCTGGCTGGAGACAGCGCATCCTTGACGTCACCCCACATTTTTACCAACAACACCAGTAACTTGCTTCGGGATACTTGCCTGCCCAATCGCGCGAGCTTGTGGTCTTTCGCACCCATCGATAGTGAGCCAGATACGGTAGGGTTTTAGGGTTACGGCTGTGCGGCTTAGAGCACGACCGGGGCGTGGCTATGGTAGTGCTGAGAACAACATCTCGTTGCATAGATCCAATATCGGAGTTAAGCACAGGCTATGTGCCTACCGACCCACATGGACACTACTGGACACAGCCGTTCTTGCCACTACGGCTAGCCAATAAAGACTATGCGGGAAGTCACTGCGTTGTGACGCCACAGCCTTGGGGACTTCAAGATTAACTTTGCTAGCCGACATCCGAATGATATTACCCGACTTCCTGCTTCCTCGCTTCAAAAGCCACATCTTGGCCATTCATAGGCCAAGACTTTGGAGTTGAACGTCATAGGGGCGCAGTAGGGAGAACAAGAATAGAGCTTTGCGCCTGGCAGCTGGTTCCGAGATGCCGTTTGGCTCCGCGAGAGCCACTCGGAGCTTGAGTCGTTGCAGTGCACTCGCTCACCGTTCCAATGCGCTGGCGCGTAGCACTTTCCATGAATCTTGGAGGGATGCCACTTGCGGCTCTACAAGAGTCACGGCAGGCGCACTCTCTTAGTATGAGTTCCGAAGCTTAGTGAGCGCCATACTCCTTCTCCTTCTCATCTCTCTGTCGGAGACTTATACCAGCACCCATGGGTCGCCTTCTCCTAAACTCAGTTCCACACAGCGCGCGGACTCTATACTATCTGCGTTACCGGGTCGCTGTTGTATTCTTCATACTTGCCCTATTCCAGCAACAACATCTGTACCTCACTAGTCGACAAGCACTCTTGGAAAAGTACTCTGCGACCAACTTCAACTCCCACAACGAAGGAGACCTACAGGCTCGATCTTGGCAACCCGATGACGAAAGTTCGAAGTTGGAAGAAGAGCTAATAGCAAACCGGGCGTCTTGGAAAGTGCTTGGCGAGGGCTGGGAGGGCAAGGTGTTCGCCTACGGAGACTCGGTTATCAAGACGTTCACACCAGGGCGGAGTCCATTCCGAAATTGCGCGCCAGATGCGTCCAAATGGCCAACGGAAATACCCGCATCACTACAATTTGGGGGTTCCGCTGCCGACGATGCGAACGCGACGAAGAACGGCTTCCTTCCCGTGAGAGCACATTTCATGGCTTCTACAACGCCTGGCGAACCGGCCGAGTGGCACCTCGTCACCCCTCTGCTCAAAGGCGGAAATCTTCGTTCACTTGCCAACAAACTGTCGTCGGAAGAAACGCCTATGGCTTATAGTCAGGTTGATGGACGCTATCGGCCAGCCTTCAACCAACTACTTGAGAATCTGGGTACTTTACACCGTGCAGGCTACTGTCACGATGATATCAAGCCAGCGAACATCTTTGTTCAAGACGAGTCCCACTGGGCAATCGGCGACTTGGGCAACATACGAGAAGTGTCACACCCCTACCACTCGTCGCGTATCTGGAAAGACAACGACCAGCTAGGGGATTGCCGCGCAAACGATGTGCTACGGGCTTTGCAGACATACCTGAAGTTTATCCAGTCTTCTGTTGCCGATGAAGACGACTTCAATGCAGCCTTGTATAAAGGCCAGACACCCTTGAGCAGACTCTTTTGGTGGACACTTGCCGATACAC